AATGCTGACTCTTGTTTCTGCCTTTGTGTCCGTTTTACTAATGTTTCGCTGTCAATTCTCTGTAGAGGGACAGACGCATTCCCCAGAGCTATTACTCGCTCTTCGCTTCGTGTGTGGAAGAGGGTATGTGTGTGGTTTGCCCCTCCCGGCTCATCTCTCTCCATCTCTTATTCTATCGGCCCCATATTCAGTCAAGTAGGTTTGCTGAGTCTGATCAGGGGGCCATTGTATCAGGATCACGTGACCGCCGGGACTCTCGTCTGTACGTCGCCGCGAGTAAAATGCGAAATTAAATTCCAGAGACGGCCATCACGTCTGCTAGTCGCATTCCCAGTGACCTATTGCTGCGACGCTCTTACACTGGTAAAACTAAGAGCTGGAGCTGTGAGCACATCATCGTATGAAGGCAACGACGTGTGTAATGACCGATGTGAGGAGGGGAGGGATGTGTGGGGGATGTAAGGTAGGGAGAGATGTGTGGTGGTAGATGTAAGGTAGGGAGGGATGTGTGGTGGTGGATGTAAGGTAGGGAGGGATGTGTGGTGGTGGATGTAAGGTAGGGAGGGATGTGTGGTGGTGGATGTAAGGTAGGGAGGGATGTGTGGTGGATGTAAGGTAGGGAGGGATGTGTGGTGGTGGATGTAAGGTCAGGGACGGGATGTGGGTGGTGGTGGATGTAAGGTAGTATGTAAGGATTTTAATCATGGAACTTCATCACAGAGTAAAATCGCCGTGCAGCTGCATTAGTTGTAGTTACTGTCACTCAGCAGCGGATTGTAAATACATCTCAGCGGCATCGCATTTATCCACTCATTAAGGGCGCCGCTGTCGGCCTTAGCGATTACTGCCTTATTAGTTTAACTTTTACCCAATAAAGCAAACATAATCTCGTAAACGTGCTGCTGCTGGCTGCTCTGCTGCTTTTGCCTGCTGCTGCTGCTGCTGCGTACTGCTGATAACTACTAAGCTACTACTGCTACTGTGCTTACTGGGCTAACTGGGCTGTTCTTGCTCGGGCTGCTGTCTTCGCTGCTGCTAAGCTGCTGGCTGCTGCTGGCTTGACTGCACTACTACTACTACTACGTACTTACTACTACTACTACTATACTGCAGCTGCTGGCTGCTGGCTACTCGCTACTACTACTAGCTACTCCTACTTACTCACTACTGACTAACTGCTGCTGCTGCGCTGCTAGCTGCTACCACTACTACTACTAACTAACTACTACTACTACTACTACTACTACTACTATACTTATTTACTGACTAGGAGCTGGCTGCTGCTGCATGCTGCTACACTACTACTACTACTACTGACTACTAACTTACTATCCTACTACTACTACTACTACTGCAGCTGCCTGCTACTACTACTACTACTCCTGCTACACTACTGCTGCTGCCTGCTGATGCTGTTACTTACTGCTTGCTTGCTACTTGCTACTACTACTACTACTCCCTACTACTACTAACTACTACTACTACTACTACTACTGCTACTACTACTACCACTACTAGCTACTGACTAACTACTGCTGCTTGCTGGCTGGGCTGCTACCTCAGCTACTAACTACTACTACTACTACCTAACTACTACTACTCGCGGATGCTGGTTGGGGCTGCTTGCTACTCCTACTACTACCACTACTAATGCTCATACTAACTAACTACTACTACTACTACACTACTACTACTGGCTGCTGCTGCTGCTGAGCTACTGCTGTTAACTGCTGGGCTGCTGCTACCTGCTGCTACACTGCTAGCTGTTGCTGCGGTTACTGCATGCTGCTACTGCTGTTGCATGCGTTTACTGCTGCTTACTGCTGCTGCTGCTGTTACTACTACTGGCTAACTAGCTGTTTTACTGCTGTTGCTTGCTACTGGCTACTGCCTTGCTAGCTACTGACTGGCAGGCTGCTACTGCTGTTGGTGCTGGCTGCTACTGTGCTTCGCTGCTGCTATTGCGTGATACTACTACTGGCTGCTGGTTACTACTGCTACTACTACACTGCTACTGCTAACCGTTCAGGAAATGAGCGTTGATTGTCGAAATGATGCAAGAAGATGCACCAAAATCCAGAACTTGTGTGGTAAACTGTATAACTTTTAATATCTTACATATTGACTGTGTAGGCACCTCATCCGACAAATGCGCCACCACAGCACAAAGACGCAGGCGCACGACGCAGCGTCGCACGTTAGCGCGTTTTACTCTCGGCGACCAGCCCCAGAATCTGCCCCTCTAATATTCGCGCCCAATAACTCCCTACATTTGAGCGACACATGTCAGCCCGTCTTGTCCCATTCAAACAACCGTTCCCGCTCATCTTTCACAATCACTCTAGAAACTGCCCTAACCTAGGCAACCCGCTTAGCCAACTCCCCGTAACATCACATGGCTGCCGCCCAATATGCCGCCCGTTCTTCTAGCTAGACTATATGGCTTAAAACCAACTTCCCAGTCGCTATTTCCACATCGACTAATTCCATTGTAACGCGTATAAAATAGCACGTTACATTTATCTCCTTTTTCCCCAAAACGATTGACACCCCTGTCATCGCTTCCAGCGTCCCTCGCTGCTCTACACTTTAACGTGAGAGGCCTAACCAATTTCAAAAGCAAAATATTACCTACCCTAATATCGTCCTAACTCCAACCCAACGAGGAAACGCTCTTTCTGTGCCGATTAAATCACACCACAATCATCACACATAACAACAATCAAAATACAATAAGAGATCACATATGAAGGCGTAGAATAACAAGTAACGAATAAAAGTCTACCATGAATAGAAATCCGAAACTAACACATTTGGCAGTAAATCATTTTGATACCTCGCTTTGCAATTACTATGCGACTCTCGTGCGTATTTTTATGGCTGTAACGTACGTTGGCGTATGCGTTACCGATACGCATTACCCGAACACCACGCTATCAACTGGATTATATCAATGCACTAATCCAAGGGCACACAGGGGCCCCATGCACCACAAGCATTAATAAACACGCGCACTGATGTGGTACTTAACACTTGCCACACATTATACGACGCCACAAAATTCATCATATATTTCATCCCATCATACATCATAGCAACATATACAGCCAACAAAAAATACGCAAAACTGGATTTCATATTTATCGATGAAAATGTTTTTCTTGGCCTGATAATCAAACTCTGATTGAAGAATGTGTCAAGCGGTCTAATAATACTAGTGGCAAACGTAGCGCGTCACTGGTTAGCACAAATTCAAGAACAATCCACAAATTTCTAAAGCAAAGTTTCACAACAAAGATTTCCACACAACAAAAAGGAAACCGGTTAGAAGCATATATCATGAAGAAAATACCGCGTTCATAAACCAACCATAAACCTACATACATACCGATACATCCATAGCATACATACATACATAACATACATACATACATCACATACATACATACATACATACATACATACAATACATCAGCATACAGTACATACATACATACATACATACATACCATACATACATACATACAATAGCATAACATAACATACATACGATACACCTACATACATACCATACATACATACATACATACATACATACATCCATACCATACATAACAGTACATACATACATACATAACATACATACACTACTACATACATCATACATACATACATACATATCATAACATACATACATCCATACATACATACAGTACATACATACATAGCATACCATACATACACTACCACATACATACATACAATACCTACATACATACATACATACATCATACATACCATACATTACATACATACAATACATACATACATAAACATATCATACATCCTACATACATACATACATACATACATACATACAATACATACATACATCCCATACATACATACGCTACAGCATACATACATACAATGTCACATGTATAGCTGTGAAAGCAATTAACTGTGTCGGCCGTTCCTTATTCAAAGTTTTTATTCCGCTCGGCAAGTATATACCCATCGACATAACATAACATGCACCTTCTTGAACTAAAGAAGGTAGTCAGCGATAAAAAAAAACCCCGTAATCGGTGGCATTGCTGTGCCATGGTGTATACAGGAAAAGAACGCGGCTTCGAGTATATTAACGTTGATATAACTAACGGTTTTCACTTTAAGCTAGCCGAAATAAAATGCCGACACAAGATTGTATTCACATACCCATTTTTCAGTAATTCCCGTCTCCGTTAGTCTC